TATTATGTTGTATGATTTCCAAACTTACACCATTTAATTATTTGGGGAGGACAAGTTTGCAGGGCTATGGGGAGAGCGCGGGGAAGTGGGGTTGATTTGGAAGCTCTTTTCAAAGAGTTGGCACAGACACGATGGGCCGAATGGCCTCCTTCTGTGCTGTATAATTCTATGATTCTATTTAGAGAACAGCTGCGATAGGACTCTGTCTAAAGCATCCAGAGTCTCCAATGTTTACCTAGTCTTAGCCTGCAGATCTTGTACAATCACTGGGGGCAGGGAATCCTCCCACTCGCCTCCTGTTAACCCTGCAAGCCAAAGCTCTAATAGGTCAGGTGGTCCTAGCTGGACAATAATAATAATAATAATCTTTGCATTTGATATAGCGCTTTATCACATCTTCGAGACATCTCTAAGCACTTCATAGGATATACTGTGAAGTGATTGTGTATTTTGTGGACGAAACACAGCGGCCAATTGCGTACAGATGTGTCCCACAAACAGTCGTGGATTGAGCGACCGATTTATTATTACAAGCAGCGGGAAAGCTTGCCAGATTGTGCTATCAGTGGCAACCTATGCAGTTTTAGCTGGTTAGACTACAGCAGTTACCCCATTGCATACTCTGGGCAACCCCAAGCCTTGGTTCTTATCAACCTGCACCTAATACTTTCTGGAATTAGGTAAGCAGGGAGAGAGTGCACATTCTAATCCAAAAAAATTTCTCTGGAACCTCCAATGTGTCAGTGGGATGCCTGGGAATCTCAGTTTGGTTTAGATACTATTAAACACAGTGATGAGTTTCCGCATGAGTCAGACACCCGGCACACCAAAGAAATCTCGTTTTCAGAATTAAGAGGGAAAATAAGCCTCGCAGGCTAAGACCAGGCGGAATTTCAGGCATCCGCAGATGTACGGGGTGTGGGGGGGAATCAAGTCACAAAATACTGTACTGTTTGGCACTCCCATATGTACATGTGTTGTATCTGTGATATAAGGCACTGCACAGGTTCCTACTTACTGCTGGGTAAACAGAGGCGTGTAAGGAAACTTGCCTGAGGTTTCGTCTCATCTGGGTTCTCTCGCCTACGAGGCGAGCGCTCTAAGCTATACACTACAGAACTCGACAGGATACAGATATACAGAAATGCACCATTTCCTAAATCACGGGAAAAGCTGTCTCCAAAAAGGGGTTTAAAGAGCAATTTCCCCGTATTACAAACTACGCCTGACAGTAATAGAGCTCTCCAGACAGCCTTAATACTGCAATAAGCACACTAGCGCCTGGTTACATTAGAGAAATGAACAGTAGGGAGTGTAAATGATACCAGACAGCAATCTACCTTAAAGTTCCGGGGTATTAAAATCTCATTTAATCTCTGGTTTAATTTCATCAGGACTCCAAGAGATTAGACACCCTTTCATATCAGAAATAAATCCATTTGACCCCTTAGTGACAGAATTCAGGCAGGCATTGCCTTGTGACTTAACTGCACCTAGTTGTTACCCCATTTCTTCTGCCTGGTATCACTGCACACTGTGGGTGTTCATTTGATACAGGGCCTTATCAACATCGTTGAGACATCTCAAAGCACTTCACAGAATACACTGTAAAGTGAATTGACTGTATTTTGTTGGCGAAACACGGCAACCAACTGCGCACAGCAGTGTCCCACAAGCAGTCGTGGATTGAGTGACCAAATTATTATTTTGGAGGGATTATTACCCCCGGAAAGCGATCAGTCAATTGACTTAACCCTAACCCAACAACTGAGTTCCTACTCACTCCCACGCAAATCGAGGCATGGAATGTGCCCAAATATACATATAAATATACTCAGGGTGACCAAAAAGTCGTGATAACAACAACAACTTGCATTTATATAGTGCCTCTCACACACGCTAACTGTTACAATGTCTAATAAGTCTTAAGTAAGTGATTTTTTTTAGATCATAGGGTAGTTATCACGATTTTGTGGTCACACTGTATATATGTTTGGCGATGTGTACATACATCGTTTTAATCTGTGTGAGTGTGTGTGTGTATTTACCACATCAATCAACATTGTGTCCCCCAACAGGTTCATATTTGAAATATCTCCCTCTCCCCCCACCACCTCCCAACTCTCACACAAACACAAACTCTGACACTATGAAGTTATTTAATGTACTGAAAGTTATTCAGACGGATTAAAGAAAAGATGTTTTGATATGTGATGAACCAGGCTGGCTAACCCTGCCTCCTGTTTTGGGGATTCGCTAATAAATCTTGCCTGTAAAAGTGCGCAAAAAGCCAGACAAGTCTGTGCCGCACTTACACAGAGCAAAGTTACCGTATTGGCATCTCGCAACGTGCACAATGCACACACACAACACACACACACACATAAAATACACACACCTACACACATAAAATACACACACACACAAAATAACACACACACACATATAAAATAACACACACACACATAAAATACTCACACACATAAAATACACACACACAAAATAACACACACACAAAATAACACACACACACACATATAAAATAACACACACACACACATAAAATAACACACACACACACACAAAATAACACAATAACACACACACATAAAATAACACACACACACACATAAAATACACACACACATAAAATACACACACACACAAAATAACACACACACACACATAAAATAACACACACACACACATAAAATAACACACACACACACAAAATAACACAATAACACACACATAAAATAACACACACACACACATAAAATACACACACACATAAAATACACACACACACAAAATACACACACACATAAAATACACACACACAAAATAACACACACACACACACATAAAATACACACACACACATACATACACACATAAAATAACACACACACAAAATAACACACACACACACAATAACATACATGCATACATAACGTATAAGTCAGTCTCCCCCATTCCACCCACCGCACTAACTAATATAGTAACAGAAACCGAGTGAGGCCACAGATCAACAAGTCCATCCAGATGTCTGTTTCCCCCCTAACTGGACATGTGTATATTATATTCCCACCTCAGAAAAAAAGTCACTCATCGAACCGTTAGTTCAGATGAAGTTAATACTAAAATACACATTGCACACAGCCAATTACCTCCCCTGTTACCCTGGTCAATATACCGTATATTTTTATTACTATTATATAGAATTGGTAGTTTAAGACCTTCCTCCCTCTTTCTCCCCTTGTTTGTAAAACGCACATTAAAAACAAAACAGGTCTGCAGGCAGGAGGGGGACACAGACAGTTTTGTTTTATTGACGATAATAACTTAGGAAATATATATTGAAAATAATTTACTTCTGTGCGTGTGTTTGTTTGTGTGTGCGTTTTCTATGGTGTGTGTGTGTTTTCTGTGTGTGTGTGTTTCTTTGTGTGTTTTCTATGGTTTGTGTGTGTTTTCTATGGTTTGTGTGTGTTTTCTATGGTGTGTGTGTGTTTTCTATGGTTTGTGTGTGTTTTCTATGGTGTGTGTGTGTTTTCTATGGTTTGTGTGTGTTTTCTATGGTGTGTGTGTGTTTTCTATGGTGTGTGTGTGTTTTCTATGGTGTGTGTGTGTTTTCTGTGTGTGTGTGTGTGTGTGTGTGAAACTTGTTGGGTCCTGATGTTAATTTATTCTCTCTCTCGTTTCTAAAGTGGGGGAATAAAGAGTCAGTTTTTTTTAAAAAATACAAAATAACCCACACAAGAAAGGACTTGAGAAAAATTGTGTGTGGTGTGTAAAAGCTGGTGGGTTCTGTTGTTAATTTATTCTTCCTCTCATTCTCTAAAGTGTGTGTTGTGTAGTGGGGTGGGTGGTGGGGGGGGCAGAGAACAAGCTTTTTTATATACAGGATGACCAAAAAGTCGTGATACCATTACAATGTAAGTCTTAAAGAAATTATGATTTTTTTTGGTGTTTTTTTTTAAAGATAATAGGGTAGAAATCACGACTTTTTGGTCATCCTGTGTATAAAAAAAAGATTTGAGAAAAATTGTGTGTGTGTGTGTGTGTGTTTGGGGGATCTGTTTTCTATAACACCAGCAAAAGTTTTGGGAAAAGTGTATCTGGAGAGGAAACGCAGCTGTACTATTTATCAGACATTGGGAGCTGGGGGAAATGGTTAGAAGTTATAATTAAAGCTTCGTGTGTTAAAGAAAAAAAGCAGTTTTTTTTTAGGAAATTCTTAGCCAAAGGAATCCCAGGAACCAAAACCTGTGGTTTTTTTTACAGCAGCGAGAACCCAGAAGTTATCGTTTAAAAAGCAATTGGACTTTACATGTATTTTATTATTATTGTTGTGTAATTGTGTTGTGTGTGTATTAAAACAAGTCAGGTGCTTTTTTTCAGACAGACTGCATTTTGAGATGGAATCGATTGAGTGTTTTACTTCATTTTAATTTGGGTTATTCCAGGTGCAAATGCAAAACAAGGGCATGGCTTCTCTGCTCATGTTGGCACTATATATACATATATTTATATGTATATATATCCGTGTATTTATGTCGTATAAATCGTTTCGCCCACAAAATATACAGTCCATTCACTTTACAGTATATTCTGTGAAGCGCTTTGAGACGTCTCGAAGACGCGATAAGGCGCTGTATCAAATGCGAGGATTATTATTCTTATAATAAAAATAAAATAAGTACATGTTGTTGTAATGCACTCACACACAGACATACAGACACAACAGACACACACACACACACACACACAAGGCACTTTTATGTATGTATTTATTTACAGTAATTGTTGTGGTCCTTTTATTTAATCTGATTATTTTCTTGGGGGACAAACGGCTGATCTGTCCCCAAAGGGAATTGCAAAAAAAAAAATAGCTTTTCCTTATTGGTTCAGGAGTGGGTGTTACGTGTCTATTCAAACTCTCCTCCTCTCCAAACTTCACTTATAAATGTATTGTTGTTGAAACCCTTTCTCACTGTTTGGGGAATGATTGGAGGTTTTGTTGCTAAGATTTGCACTCATTTTATTATTATTTTTTAGCAAGAATCTGAATTAAACACAGGAGTTTATTCCCTTCCCCACTCCTTCTCTCAATCTCCCCTCTTCCTTTTTCTCTCCCTCTCTGTGTGGGTTATTTGCTGAAAGCTCCAACTATTGGCGTTGTGAGGAGAGGAGGAGACACAGGGAACAGCAGAGACAGAGTCACATCCCCCAGTGATTTTGTTGGGACCTCTCTGATGGCTTTCACTATGTTGAGACCTATTGCAAATCGTCACTTCTACCCCGATGTCAGTCTACATTCAGAGGACGACGACAACAAGAGTGAAAGCGATGGTTCGGATCAGTCCTTCGAGTGTTGCAATGGCTCAGGGAAGAGAAGGAAAGTGACTTACAGTAAGACTGGAGTGCTGGTCAAACACAGACAGGCTGCCAACGCCAGAGAGAGAGACAGGACCCACAGTGTCAACACAGCCTTCAGTGCTCTCAGGACTCTCATTCCCACTGAGCCAGCAGACAGGAAGCTTTCCAAAATCGAAACCCTTCGCCTGGCATCCAGCTACATCTCCCACCTGGGCAACATCTTGCTGGTGGGAGAGGAGTGCATGGATGGTCAACCCTGTCTGGCCACAGTCTACAGTCAGAGTGAGCTGCTGGAGGGGTCCCAGCCCAGACCCATCTGCACCTTCTGTCTCAGCAACCAGAGGAAAGGGGTAAGAGCATGCAACTGGGATCCTTGTCCAACTGTTGGTCTCTCTCTCTGTGTGTGTGTGTGTGTGTGTGATGGAGATAGATAATAATAATAATAATCGCAGCCAAGATTTTATTGACAACAACAACTTGCATTTATATAATAATAATCCTGGCATTTGATACAGCGCCTTATCACACCTGAGAGACGTCTCAAAGGGCTTTGCAGAACACACCGTAAAGGGTATTGACACTATATTTTGTGGGTGAAATGCAGCAGTCAATTGCGCACAGCGGCGTCCCACAAACTGTCAAGGACTGAGTGACCACATTACTATTTTATTTACTTTTTTTTGAAGGAATTATTACTCCCGGAAAGCAATCCGTTAATTGACTAACAACTGATAGATACAAAGATATATATACATACAGAAAGAGCGAGAGATCACTATATATATAGAGAGAGAGCGATTACTCACTCATTCACATAAGGATGTAATTTTACAAGCTGATTTTAGATTTTAAAAAATCTGACATATTAGTTCTTTTTGTGTTTTTGTTTCAACAAAAAAAGTCATTTTTAACCTCTCAACCTGACAGTAAAACAGAACTGTCAGTCAGGGAAGATAATAATAATCCTTGCATTTTAATAATCATCCTTGTGTTTGATGTAATGCTTTATCACATCGTCGAAACATCTCAATATTTTTCACTGTAAAGTGTATTGTGTATGCGAGCCTGGAAATCAATAGGTGCACAGAAATATATAATAATAATAATCCTTGCATTTGGTATAGCGCTTTATGATGTTGTTCAGACATCTCAAAGTGCTTCACAGGATAATTGTGGAGTCCTGTAGCATATTGGTTGGGACACTTGCCTCACAAGCGAGAGGACCCAGGTTTGATTCACGGGCGAAACCTTAGGCAAGTTTCCTTACTCTACACGCTACTGTTTCCCTAGCAGCAAGCAGGAACCCGGTTGTTAGTCGATTGGCAGATCACTTTCCAGGGGTAATAATTCCTTAAAAAAATAAAAATAATAATGATGATTTGGTCACTCAATTCACGACTATTTGTGGGACACTGCAATTGGCAATTGGCTGCCGCATATCGCCCACAAAAAATACACAGAATTTAAGTATATTCTATGAAGCGCTTTGAGATGTCTCAATGACGTGATAAACTGCTATATCAAATGCAAGGATTATTTTATTATTTTTATATTGTAAAGTGGAGTAACTGTATATTTGGTGGGTGAAAAATTCCACAATCAAACAGGAGGTGAATATAATAATAATACTCCTTACATTTGACACAGCGCCTTATCATGTCTTTGAGACGTCCCAAAGCGCTTCACAGAATATACTGTAAAGTGAATTGACTGTGTATTTTGTGGGCGAATGATCGTTTGCTGGCCAGCATACTCAGACTCTGATAAAAGTGTCCCAGGTTCTTCAATGCCCACTTGAACAGGCAGAGGGGATGTTGGTTTAAAGTCATTGTCAGGAACTCAGAGAATGCAGCACTCTTCCCCCCATCACTCCTGGCTGCCGCGTTTCGCCCACAAAATATACAGTCAATTCACTTTACAGTTTATCCTGTGAAGCTCTTTGAGACATCTCGAAGATGTGATAAGACGCTATATCAAATGTAAGGATAATCATTATTATAACGGGGGTAAAATTTTAAAGACACAATAAGCGACTGCCTGCAATTAACAACGCTTTCATATAGCATCCGTAAAACAATGTTCTAAAGATAGTCATTATGGCACCTTATAAAGCAGAGCTGAAGCGGAACAGAGAAGCAAGGAATGGTGATTTGTTCACTGTTTGCTTGGAATGCACAAAAACATGTTGCATATTCAGGCAAAATTTGTGGATTTACTCAATATTATTACAAAGCAGACATCCGCCCTGCCTCGCTCCCCGATTCCCTTACACACAGCACAGATGAATCAAGGCTGTAATAATAATAATAATTCTTGCATTTGATACAGCTCCTTATCATGTTAAGGCTCTTCAAAAGGCTTCATAGAATATACTGTAAAGTGTATTGAACATCCTTTCAAAATTTTTTTAAAAAACTGCCTTTCACAATAAATTTTGACATTTCCACAAAGTAGATTTGGGGTTTTTCACTGTAGTTGGGGGCCCAATGCTCTCCTTCAAATTGATGTCAAAACATTGCAGAGTAATAATACAATACAATTTGCGCAATTGGCTGCCACGTTTCGCCCACAAAATACACAGTCAATTCACTTTACTCTATATTCTGTGAAGCGCTTTGAGGCGTCTCGAAGACATGATAAGGCGCTATATCAAATGCAAGGATTATTATTTACACAAGGCACCAACTTTTTTCAAAACCTCCCTCCCTTATTTCGCTTTCAGTCAATACAGTGAATTGACTGTATATTTTGTGGGTGAAACACAATTGTGCACAGCAATAGCATAACTAATTCTGTCCACAGAACCATAGAGATTTACACAAGATAAAAGCACAGGGGTTCTCGTGAGGGAATTTGAACAGATTGCTCTCACAATACATTTCACTAAATACACAGTCACTCCACTTTACAATGTATCCCGAGAAGCACTTTGAGACGTCTCATTCTGTCTGTGCTGGTGTTCACTCCCCCACTGGAGCTCTCTGCTCTAACCCCATTCCCTGCTGTCTCTCCCGTCGTGTCTGTGCTGGTGCTCGCTCCCCCACTGGAGCTCTCTAATCTAATCCCATTCCCTGCTCTAGCACGATAATAATAATAATACCCTTTAATATTATTTTTCCTCAAGTATTCTGTTAGAAGCTTGGCTATGACAACCATGTATGGGAGGCAGCCCATATTCTAATAACCCTCCTTATATTTAAAAAAAAGCTAATCACTTTCATTCTAAACACTCCAAGATGCTGCCCACGTGAAGGGCGCTATTTATTAGCAAGTTAATGTTGTTCAAAGATTTGGTGCTGTGATAATAAGAATAATAATCCTTGCATTCGATATAGCGCCTTAACATGTTACTGAGATGTTTCAAAGTGCTTCACAGGATACGTTGTAAAGTGAAGGGATTATTACCCCCGGAAACGATCCGCCATTCGACTAACGATCAGGTTCCTACTTACTGCTGGGTAAACAAAGGTGTGTGGAGTAAGGAAACTAAGGTTTTGCCTCCACCTGGGAATCAAACCCAGGTCCTCTCGCTTGCGAGGCGAGGGCTCTAACCGCTATGCTACAGGACTCCACTGATTTCTCCTGCGAGTTATGACTTGACACCTCATCGTCCTGATAGGATATCTGTGCCTCTAAACAGCAAGCAGATCAATGCACTTGGAATTTTTCCTGGATCAATAAAGCTTCCCAACCAAAGTGTGGTTTCTTGTAAGATATAAAGTTTCCCCTGACAGTGTTGTCGCTTAAATTACCAGTGTTTCAATAGTGGACTGATGGCAAAGGCCAGCTTTGAAGATTTTATAGGGGCTTGTGATCTCACCATTGTACTGCTCCGTGCCGCAAAGTAACCTGTTCATGTGCGCACAGAAACAACCATTTCTATTGTTCTATTTAGGAGTAACAATCCACCACTGTTTGTGGGACGCTGCTGTGCGCAATTGGCTGCCGCGTTTTGCCCACATAAGACACGGTCACTCCACTTTACAGTATATCCGGTGAAGCACTTTGAGACGTCTCGAAGACGTGATAAGGCGCTGTGTCAAATGCGAGGATTGTTATTATTATTAGAAGGATTATTAGTGTAACTGATTTAATGATTATAAAATTAATGATTATAAAATGATTGTATAAAATTCAATGCACCTAATCTGCATTGCAGATATTTCCAAGCAGAGAACAGCAACTTGCACTTACATAGAAGATTTCACGAAGGATGAATTTCTCAAAGTAATAACAACAACTTTTATAGCGACCCTCACGCAGGGCAGCGTCTCGTAGTGCCTATCAGTGGCGGCGCCCAACGCCGCGTCAGGGGGATGGGAGGAGGTGACCGTAAACATGGTCGAAGAGGAAGGTCTTCAGTCGTGATCTAAAAGAGGTGAAGGAGGGGGCAAGGCGGAGGGATTGAGAAAGAGAGAGTTCCAAAGCTTTGAGGCGTAGTGGCTGAAAGCGCAGCCGCCGATTGTGGAGCAGAGGGGAGAAGGGATGAGCAGGAGGCCGGAGCCAGCCGAGCGGAGGCAGCAGGTAGTGGAGTGGGGAGATAGCGGGTTGGAGAGATAGGGAGGTGCAAGGAAGTGAAAGGATTTCTATCACCAGGAAAGGAAGGGGAAACACTGGAGGAACCTTTTTCACACAGAGGCTTATTATTAATAATTAGGAACGAGAGAAAATTGGGAAATACATCGACCTACACGGACCCACGTGTCAATGTAAACCAAACATAGTTCCTACAGTGATCAGTGTAACTGGGGCTGTTAATAAGACTATTCATAAGCGGCTTGACAACACACCTGGTGATCAACATATCAGCCTCCTGCAAAAAGTAGTTATTTTGGGTATATTAAGAAAACTAACATCTATTCATGTGTTCACGCAATCCACAACTGTTTGTGGGACGCTGCTGTGTACAATTGGCTGCTTGTTTCGCCCACAAAATACACAGTCCCTACACTTTACACTATAATCTGTGAAGAACTTCAATAAGGCGTTATATCAAATGCAATGATTATTGTTATTATTTAGAAATTACCACTACAGAGTGATTTAAACTGTAATAACATAATATTAATAACAATAACGCTTACATTTGGTTTAGTACCTTTCACGTCTAGAGGGCATTCCAAAGCACTTCACAGGATTTAAAGTGTAGTGACTGTGTGTGTGTGTGTTTTGTGGGGCTAATAGAATGTCTGTGTGCTTTATCATACGTTGCCGCTGTGGTCCAGAGCTTTAAAAGTTAATTGGATAAACATTAGAGTACTATTAACAAGATCGAGAGGCAGAGCAGGGGAATAGGATTAGAGTGGAGAGCTCCAGAGTGGGGAGCGAACACCAGTGCTGTAGTTGTATGATTTTAGAATACACTTCAAAAGTGTCAACAAATTAATATTAGTTTTAAACAAACTGCAGGCTTCGGTTACAAAAAAATAATAAATTGGTGCCTTGGAGATTAAGTTACTGATTTAAGTGGAGGTTTCTGCTGCCGGCATTAATCTACCATTTGTAACTTAATCGACAGAATTCCACTGAATTACAGTGTTGTAATTTCACCAATAAATTATTCTTGAAAACGCTTACGTCCGGCCACGCAAATCATAAATCTCTTTCTCGAAAGTCTTAGGAGTGTAAGAACTGCGTAAGAGAGTCAGTCAGTTAGTTAGTGTGTTCGTTAGTTATCTTAAAACAACACGCTTTGGGCTTTTTGGGCTTCCTAATTCCACAAGTGCACTCAGTCACAGTTTGACCATTTAGTTAATATTTTAATATTACACCTTTCATTAAAAAAAACACAGGTACAGTTTAAAAAAAGTTAAAACAAAAAAAAATTACAAAAGTTGCTTTAAAAGCTCAGGTTTTTTGTGCAGTTTAGTGTTACGATGGGCAAAAAAAAATAATATTGTGGTCACTCAATCCACAACTGGTTGCTGCGTGTAATTGCTTGTAGTTGCTGCTGCGTTTTTTTTAATGCAAGGTTTATTATTATTTGATACAGCACCTTATCACCTCTTCGAGACGTCTCAAAGCGCTTCACAGACTATACTGGAAAGTGGATTGACTGTGTATTTTGTGGGCGAAACGCAGATGCAAGGATTATTATTATTATTATGATAAAAGTAACTGGAGTTTAAAAAGGATTGAATTATTGATTTCTGACTGGGACGCCCCCTCACACACACACGCACGGGTTGGGGTGGGGGAGAATAATTTGGGAGAGTATAAAAGGGACAGAGTGGGTGTTTTTTTTTTGTGAATGACCCCCATGTAGAACAAACAGAGATGTGAGGTATATCGAATTTCACATTGGATACAGTTCTATACTTACAGACTGTGTGAAATGAACACCACACACACAGCATTACCTTTACAGTCCAGCAGATTAATACTGTTCTTTCCCCTCTTTCGGATCTGCAGTGTAGAAACGTGATTTGTTTTGGGGGGTGTTGGGTGGGGGGGTGGGGGTGATAAAAAACATTTTGAAAAAAAAATAAAAAATTGGCTAAACATCTATAAATCTAAAAAAAATTATACGTATATATATTTGAAAATTATATTGTAGATTTTATTCCTCTCCCAAAAAATTGTTACCATATTTTAATGGCACTTTTTTTTACACCAACTATTTTAATTGGGATTGTCAACAAAGTCTCCAAAGATATGATGTTTGATTTTTTAAAAATTAAAATAATTTTTTTTATATATATCTATAAAGGTGAGATTCCCGTTATACTTTCGCCTCTTAGGAGTGGAAAATAAACGTAAATAATCTAATATTTGTCTGTTTTTTTTAAAACATATTTGTTGTTGAATTTTGAAAAAATATTCTCAGTGTGTTGTGATTTTACTGTTTGCTTCTTTGTTGTTTACTCAGGTTAAGGAGAGAGACGGGAAGAGCGGTTACTCCAAGCTGAGGGGCCCGGGTACTCTACGGATGCAACGCCAGTAACAGATGCACCAAGAGGCGGCTTAGAGAGTGAGAGAGGGTCGGGAACAGAGTCCTGCCTGCCTTGCAAGTAGCTAGTGATCAGATGGTCCTCAAGGTCAGGGGCAAAGGAAGAACGGGTTCTCTGCATCACACACGTGGCAGAACTTTGGACATGGGAGTGTTAATGTATCATTGAGCCCCCTTTCCCCTGACCCCACCCCAGCCCAACCCATTCAGTGGTGTTTCCCCAACTCATGAACTGTTCGAGAACATGTAGACCATGATGGAGTGAACCGTGCTTGCAAAGCGAGAGAAGAAACAAGCAGAGATCTAGCAAGCTGAAGATAATCTCAGTTTTTTTTTCTGTGTGTGTTGAGTGTTTGTGTCCATATCGTATTTTCTGTTTGTTTTTTTTTAAAAAAATCCCTCCTCCCCCCCATCCCCCCAAAAGCTAGACAGGTGAAAAATGTGGGGGAAAAAAAATAAAAGGAGAGATACATACAGTGCAATGTGGTGGAGTGTTATATTGGTATCTGGTGTTGTGTAGTTATGTACTAACTCTGGTCTGGGTGGGTGAGTGTCTTGCTGGATGTGCATGTGTTAAAGGAACCTTGTGGTCAAGTGACCATTTGGAATGAATCATCCCCACCTCCCCATCGTGGGAGAGAAGGAAGGTCTCAAAGCGCTTCACAGCATATACTGCAGATTGTAGTGACTGTGTATTTTGTAGGTGAACACAGCAGCCTGTTTGTGCACAGAGACAGGTAGGTGAAACATTGACCTGTGGTTCGTAAAAATTCAATTGCTCAGCTGTCTCCTGTCTCCTGTCTCACGTCAAGAGGATATAGACCTGAGCTGGGGGTTTGGGATCAGGAGGGGCGAGGGTAGGGGGGTGACCGAAGGCACGGTTTTGAGATGGGCCTTGAAGGAGGCAAGGGAGGGAGCAATAGACAGCAGGCAGGGTGGGATGAGATTTGCGGAGGCCGTGAAGGAGGGTGGCAGGTTTCGGTGGCCCCCTTCCCACCAGGGATGCTGGGAGCTTCCAGTAAATGGCATCCAGCTACAGCATTGGGAGTCTCAGAGAGGTCCCGTAGCACAGTGGTTACCGTGCTCACCACCGAGAGGATCCAGGTCAATTTCAGTGTGGGGTGAAACTTTTGACACGTGTCCTTATTCCACACGCCTCTGTTTACTCAGCAGTAAGTAGGGTTGTTAGCCGATTGGCGGATCGCTTTTCCGGGGGTAAAAATGTTCCCTTAAAAAAAAGTGGTCACTCAAACCACAAATGTTTGTGGGACACTGCTGCACGCAATTGGCTACTGCATTTCGCCCACAAAATACAGTCACTTCACTTTATAGTATACTCTATGAAGTGCTTTGAGACGTCTCAAATGCGAGGATTGTTACTGTTATTACCGACAAGCCTATTGTCCCCAGTCGCGTGGCCTTGAGGAAACACCACGTGTTAGGGTCCCAACTAGAGACAATGGAGCCCCTTCTCAAAGCCGTGAGGAAAGCTCACACTCGGCCTTTTACTGGGCAGCTGGATAGAGGGATGGACTACAGCAGCAGCAGCTGTTGTGGATTAGTTAGTGAAGGAGGAGGGAGGCAGGGTGTGTGTGTGTGTGTGTGAAAGCTACACAAATTGCCTGAGTCAAAACTTTCTTGCAATTTCCAACTCTTCCCACTCTCCAGGGTCCCAACATTGACCGCCTTCCCTCCCTCCACTAAGCTGATTTGAGACTCTTCCCCCCCTCCCCCCCCACCTCCGCTCTTGCACACACACACCTTCCCAGAGAGAGTCATGGTGAGTCCATTCACTTCGTACTGTCAAAACGGCAAAATCAGCGAAAGCCAAGAGGAGGGAGGGGGAAGCATTGCTGGGTGGCGCACATCCAACTGAAATGCGGTTTTGCCTCTGCCGGTCCCCCAGGACAATTTGTTCAGTCTAAATCGCAAACCGGAAGGTTTATCCATGTTTTAACTGGAGAAAAAGAAGTGTGTCAGTGGGTCGGAGGGAAGGGTGTGAGGGCAGGGCAGAGGAACACAAGATGGTAAGCAGGGACCCTGGGTTAGGGGGGAGGAGGTTCACTGTTTTGCCTGCGATGCGTTGCGCTAGGCACCTTGTCGATGTCTTGATGCTTAATTTGCTTTGAAGTGTTTCAGTGCTGTCAGCCTAGCTCTGGTCTCTGAGTCCGAACGTTCCAGCCTCATGTCGAAGACTTTGAGCTCACATTCCAGGTCTCTGTAGAGACCTAGAGAGTCAAAATATTTCCCATCTCTCTGTCCCTCCCTCCCACTTGTTGCCGACAGCCCTGGTGACTTATAGACAGATGCAATGTATTCCCAGAAGCAAGGCTTGTTTTCCTGGTCTCGGTTGGTTTGGAAATCTCCAGTCTGCGAGGAGTCATCTCATCCCAGCTGGGGCTGCTGTGGACCTCAGTGTCCCTGAGCTGGGCAACTGACATATGCTCTTGGTCTGCATCAGATTTAGAGACCGTGGGGATGGCTTTACCCCATCGCTGACCCCAATGTTATCTGGCCTGAGAGAGCTGTAAATAATCAGAGAGAGGGATCAGTTCAGCTCTGATGCCACTCACCTCGATGGCACCATTTTCACCTCTTGCTGCCTTCCAACCCAACGCACTCCCCACCCCTAACTGTCAGAGGGTCTAACCCAATGCCCCCACTCCTCCCCCTTCCCCATGTTCTTTTTGTAGGATCAGTTGGTAGTGCTCTCGCCCCTGGGTCAGACGGTTGTGAGTTTAAGCCCCATATTGGGGACTTTGGGCCACAGACAAGGTGGAGTCCTGTAGCTCAGTGGTTAGAGCACTCGCTTTGCAAGCCAGAGACCTGGGTTCAATTCCAGGCAGAGGGCGAAACCTTGGGCAAGTTTCCTTACTCCACACAGAGCCTAATAATAATCCCTCCAAAACCAAAAACAATAATAAATTGGTCATTTTCAATCTACGACTGTTTGTGGGACATTGCTGTGCGCAATTGGCTGCCGCGTTCGCCCACAAATATACAGTCAATTCACTTTACAGTATATTCTGTGAAGCGCTTTGGGACGTCCTCCCGACGTGTAAAGCGCTATATCAATTGCAAGGATTATTATTATTATTATTATTATTATTATTTGATGCTTCAGCTTAGTGTTGGGGGAGGAGGGGGCGAGGGAGAGAGAGGAGCGATGCACTGTGAAAGGTGTAGTCCTTTGGGTGAGAGGATTTCATCAAAAAAATACACAGTCACTGCACTTTACAGTATATCTCGTGGAGCACAATTCCCTCCCCCGAGAAAATTGATCATTCATTCATAGCTTAATTTATGGGTCTTTGCTATGCACAAACTGGCTGCTGCATTTGCCTATGGAATATATAGATTTGAGATGCTTTGAGATGTCTCAACGACGTGATAAGGTGCTATATCAAATGCAAGGATTATTATTATTATTACAGTGGCTGACAGCGACCATGTGGAAAGCGCTTTGAGACGGGACGACGTTTTAGAGCGAGGATTAATAATTATTCCGGGAGTGATTTAACGGAAGCTCTGAGCTTTTCTGTGGGATTTTATCTCCAGAGGATTTCTCTCTCTCTCTCTCTCTTTCGCTCTCACTCTGAACCACATGGTTTTCAAGTAACGAGGTCTGTTAAGAATTAGACACGGCAGAAAAAGCATGAAACACATCCTGAACTTTGAGACTCTGCAGCTGTGTGAGGGTCTGAGGGTGTAAATCTCCAGCAACAGCTCAGGGACGTGCAAAGACTGGGGTTTGTTGGAAGCAGGAACTCGCATTAGAGAGCAGAACCTCAGACTGTATTCATCCCGTCAACATAAGATTACTCACACTGCCTTCGGTCTGCGTTCCGTCTACGCTCTGAGGTAACGCTCAATAAACAAGCAGGTTAGCTACAAGTCTGCCTTGGGTTCCAAATGGTTATTTATTCCACTTGGCTGCCCATGAAGCTGGAGAATCAGTTCTGGAGACCTTTATGGGGCAAGATGTGCGGGGTTTCCAAACTCGCCGGCAGTAATTAATGCTACAAACCTTACCTCTAAATTTGTGTCCGCTCATGCGCCCCCCACTCCCCGCCCCCCATCTCGTAGGAAGACATACATTGCTAGATGAAAAAAGGCCAAGGTCCATCTGGTTCATCTTCTAACATCCTAGTAGTCACCTGCTACAATAGTGGCGATGTTGATACGGTGCCTTTAATGTCAGGAGGGCGTCTCAAAGTGCTTCACAGGATTTACTGTAAACTGTGTATTTTGTAGGCGAATGCGGCAGCCAGTTTGTGCACATCGATGTCCCACAAACGGCCAAGGAGGCGAAAGATCAGTTTATCTGGGGAATTGTTGGCACCAGAAGAAACTCTCTTCTCTTGTTAAATAGCGCTGCAGGGATTTTTAGCATCCACCTGGACAGAGCCAGATAGTGTCTTCAGTTTAACGTCTCATCTGAAGGACAGGAGCCTTGATAATGCAATGTAGCGCTCCACCTCAATATTGACGTTGGAGAGTCAGCCTGGTCTGTGCGCTCCCAAGTCTCACTGTAAGGCTTGAACCCACAACTGTCTGGCCTAGAAGCGAGAATGTTACCAACAGAACTAAGCTGACACCTGGAAAGGGAGGGACATGAGGAGGAAAAGGGAGGGGGAAACACAATGAGATGATTAGACATCAGCTCAGTGCAGGCCAAAGTTTTCTCACGAGAGTTAAACCAAACTCCCGAAACAGACGCTAGGATCAGGTGCGAGAATAATAACTGCAATTATAACTCGGTGCTGTCGTTTGAATGTTAACCATTCGGACAATTCAAACTTTTTAAATTTGTTCCCACAGGAATTTTGTAAACCCACGTTTGACGCAGCAAAGCAGCGTCACCGAGTGAGGGAAACATCACACACTCACCAAGAGTTTTCATTAACTTTAACAAGCCTAGTGTTTCTCTCTCTCCCTTTCTCTCTCTGCACCTGGGAGTTGTATGTCTCTGTCCTGCCTTCCCGGCCTGTGTTTCACATTGTCTGGGAGCCTGGGATCAGGCCTCAGTGTAATGCTTCCCACACGGTCAGGGCAGCTTGGCCCGAAGGAAGGGAAAACGAAGGGAATGAGAAAACAGGTCAATAAAATTGCGGATTTCCGTAGTGCAGTGGTTAGAGCGCTCGCCTCGCAAGCGAGAGGACCCGGGTTCGATTCCCAGGCGGGTGAAACCTTAGGTAAGTTTCCCTACTCCACACACACACATGCATCTGTTTACCTAAGTAAGTAGAGGCACCCGCTTATTAGTCGATTGGTGGGTCGCTTTCCGGGAGTAATAATCCTTCCCCCTCAAAAAAATGTGCTCGCTCAATCCACAACTGTTTGTGGGATGCTGCTGTGCGCAAT